AATAAAAAATAAAGTGTATATCAGAAGTCATAAAATTAACAAAAAAAACCAACAATTTAAAATACATTTAAGATTAATACTAAAAAAAAAATCGAAAATACATTCAGACAATAACTTTTTACATCAGTTAGATATATCTCTGCATAAAAATGTTGCCTATTTACATTAAAATCAGTGCTGTCCAGTAAAATATGATTAAAAGTCATTGGAGTTTGACAAGGAAGGCATGATGGTGGTTGTCACATTCGGTTGTAGTATGCCACATACGATGACTGGAACTTAAAGAAACAGAAACAGGCGTAACAAAACCAACAAAAGACGACACCAAACAAAGAACTCAGGAAACAGTGGGCTTAAATAACGAGGAGAACTAATCACATTAACAGAACAGGTGAACTAAACCAGTAACTGAGGGAACAAACTAGGAATCAAATGACGGATCAAATCAGATCAAATGATGACTGGGAGACTGAACTAAATCAAAACAAAGAACAAAACCATGAATCTGACAGTGGTTCTTCACCTTTCAATAAATAACCATGTGTAAATCTTGAATGAAGGGCACCTATAGTAAAAACAACTTGATCATACTATGATTTGAAATTACAAAAACAAAACAAAAATGCATTCTTATACTAGTATTTATTTCATGTAACTTATTTCCATGGCATTTTCTCCATTCCATCTGCCATTTGTTGATAGAGGAGTTAATTACTGGCCTGAGCAAAGACTGAGCAAAGACATTATCAACAGTGATTAGATAAAAAATAAACAAATAAATAAATTAATGTTTGACCTAACACCCTGTTTACATGCACAAAATACTAATAACGAAGTAGTTAGAATTATTGAGGAATCACTTTGCAACCTCTCTGAAATCCATTTGTTGTTGTTTTTTTCAAACTTTCCATTGTCAATCAAAAATATCTGAATATTCTGAATTATCTGTCTGGGTTTATCCTGTTCTGGAAAGCTGTATTTGATGTTTGTCCACATCTAATGGATTCACAATAACTGAGAGCGCCACCAGATAAGGAATCATGACTTTGAACCAATGCAGTCACCCATGGTTAAATAAATTGGTGGCAACCTTCATGACCCATCTTTCTTACCTGAAGCACATTTGGTATTCTGCGGATGGTGTGAGAGCGTGGGTCTGATGGCTGAAAGTGCACATCTACAGCAAGTCTCTTTGTTCAGTAATTACATTTCATTGGGACTAGCTACGGATATCGGATTCCACCTCTGACCCCAAACTCCATAAATAATGATCATCATAGCAATGTCAGCCTACAAGCCTCCAGATGTTTTGTGACCGCCTTCCTATTTTAATCTCACTTCATTAACCCTAGATCCAACTTTTTCAATTCAACCTTTTTACACCCAATCAGTACATTTCTTATGTATTTTCATCATCTGAAACCACAACATTTTATTGGCTGCTATGGTTCAGCTTTCTCATTTGATTTTTTCTTATTTGATAGGTTAGTCATCACAGCACTATGAATCTTCTGCTTACTTCGACTATTTTGATATGGAAACATATTGCTGGAAACAGATAAAATATAGGCTTTTTAAAGAGACCACAGAATTTAACAGTATCCAGTTACTTCTCTGGAGTATATAAATTTGCTTCAAAGCTGCTCATCCAGTGAGACATGGGATGGTAGCTTGGTGAGAGAAGGCCAAGGGGGAGATGGTTTGGCTGTAAAAACTCCAGTTCAGAGTACCAGCAGATAGGATAACTAACAAGCTTTTCAACCGGAACATTGCACACAATCATCCTTATTAAAAAGTAACTTTGAGCAAACTTCTAAGAGGCTGATGTATGTATCTTCAGAAGTATGCTGCGATGCAGTGTCACTGTATGAATAAACATTTCTCAAAAACAACGACAAATAGGCCAAAGGGATATGAATGAAATGTAAACAATGTAAACACAAAAAAGGACTTAATCTAGTTAAAAAAAGTGAAAGTGACGTGACATGTGGCCAACAAACTGTTCAATTTACAACATGCTTTAACCTCCCGCACTCGTCCATCGCCATTTTAACCTTTATATGTGATCCACATATCTGTCAAGCTAACTAATTATGTTTAATGCGTGAGTTGGCATAATTTGTGCTCGTGACGGAGCGGTAGCGGAGCGTTCTCGGAGTGAGTGAAAACCTCAACGCCCCGAATTTACATCGCCGTCGCATTTCGTGCACCACTACAACCTTTGGGTTACGAGTCCGACTCTCTAACCATTAGGCCACGACTTCCCCAAGACTGTCTACTCAGTCTTAAAATATTTTTAATATATTAATTATATGGCATCGCTGTGAAAACTCAGTTTTGATACCTTTACTTTTAAGAGTGTAAAGTAAACTTCTTTGGGCACACTGCTTATTATTGAAAACCCACCAATTCACTATCTCAACAAATTAGAATACTTCATAAGACCAATAAAAAAAACATTTTTAGTGAATTGTTGGCCTTCTGGAAAGTATGTTCATTTACTGTACATGTACTCAATACTTGGTAGGGGCTCCTTTTGCTTTAATTACTGCCTCAATTCGGCATGGCATGGAGGTGATCAGTTTGTGGCACTGCTGAGGTGGTATGGAAGCCCAGGTTTCTTTGACAGTGGCCTTCAGCTCATC